TGTGATTCCATATTCTCCAAAAAACCATGATATGAGAATTCCATATCATGATTTCAGATAATTTTAATACTAAAATTGAACTACAAGTTTATATTTTGTTAAAATAACCCCACATTTATAGCTACTAACAATTTATTTTATATGTAAATAAAATTTATAATGACATCATTACTTTTTAAAATTTATTATTCTCACATACATAAATTTATTATTCTCACCAACATATAATCACTTTAACTCACACCAACCGATTGTTGAGTAATATTAAAGACTAGTACACTGCAATTTATGTTCAATTTTTTTTATTGAATTAAAGTTAGATGAAACATTTACTTAAGTGGAGAACAAATAACAATGTAATAATTTATTATGAGATTTTATAAATTTTTGTTTATTTGGTAAGATTGAATAAACAATTGGGGCTATTTTAATAATTTTACAACTTATGAGATTCTTATGTTTATGAGAAAATGTACAACACCAAAATTCCATATCACATGTCCAAACAAAACTTCAATTTCATCTCATAACTCCATATTATGATATCATATCATGATTCTATACCATGATACCATATCGCATGGCCAAACGGGCCCTAAGTTTCCTAACTGTTTGACAAATGCATGTCTTGCTAAACTTTACCCAAATTTGGGTTCATGGCTGTGAGTTTGGGCAATTATAAGACTCAATATGTATGTTCCATGAATTTTAGGTTTTTATGCGATTTGATCCTTTCAATTTTTTTTGCGACATACTCATACAGTCAAATAACGGAAGTTCTTTGTCTTGAAATGTTTATAGTATAATGTTGATATAAAAAAAAACACTTATAATATAACATTAGTTTTTTTTTAAAAGGAAAAAACATATTGTTACCGAGAATGATTGTTATAGTAAGATTAGAGTATAATTTATTTCTCCTTTTCAATTAGTGTGCAGCTGTCCCACGTTGTCTCTCCCTTTACTTGACATTATTAGGAGACTTGGCCATGGATTCCAGCTATCATTAAAAAAAGCAAAAGCAAATAGTATTGTAGGAAATATAGAAGGAGAATACTATCTTTAGAGAATGGTCAAGTTTTATATAGGCTACTTAAGGCCACTTGAGATGATTATAATCATCAACTAGATCTCTATTTATACTACACAAATTATAAAACTAAAGGTCTTGCACAAATAACTAGATACATGTATTACAGAATCCTAAAAGACTTCTTGAAAAACTAAGAGACAATAGTGAAAGACTAAGCATCAAGGTGTGAATAAATTAATTCCAACACTCCCCCTTAATGCATTTGCTTGACAACTCCAATCCCTTCTCAAAGATAGCAAAACTTTTCTCTTGGAAGTGCTTTGGTGAAGATGTCAGCAAGTTGTTCTCATGTCTGACAATAATTGCAACTGAATTTCGCCTTTATCTTGTGCTTTTGAATATCTCCTTCTTGATTGAGTTTGGTTTTGTAAATTCATTTTAGACTTACAACTTCTCTCTCTTTGGGTATAGTCACACACTCTCAAGTATTATTTTTTTCAATCATTCGGATTTTTTTTGCTATGGTTTTCTTCCAAACATCATGCTTTATTGTCTCCTCATAATTTTCTTGTTCAACACCAGCAAAGTTGCATCTTTGATAAATGTCACTCAACATTTTTGTTGTTCTTGGAGGTGTATCTTCATCATATGAATATGAGATTTCTCCCCTTTGAGGGAATCTTCCTCTTCCTCATCCTCTTCTTGATTTGACACATCTAAAGATATGATAAAAGTATCCTCTACCTTAATCTCAATATGTATCTCAGGAAGGCCTTGCACCATGTCTTTTTGTTTGAGAAGGTTCAAACCATGAAAATTCAAGTGATAAAATCTTTTGTTCCAAAGCCATGAATAATCTACAACTTCATTTTTGAATGCATTGTAATGAAATTGTAAAGGAAAATTTCTTTTTATCATCTCTATTTAAAATACAACTTGATTTGGTTCAATTTTATCATAAATCTTGCAATAATTATCTCTAAACACAAGAGAATAACTATTTTCCATGAATTGACCAACACTAAGCACATTTTTTTCTATGTTAGGAATATAAAGCACATCATGAATTTGCTTACCGCTCCCTTTTATGTTGATCGAAATGGTACCTTTACCTTTTGCATCAAATAAGGCTTCATTCCCCATTCTTACTTTAGTAGTGATGCTACTATTAGTTGAGAGGAAAACTTTTTCATCTCCAATCATGTGATTGCTACAACCACTATCAATATACCATTCATTGCTTTTTGCTTAAACATCACATTGGGAAGCAAAAAAAAGATTTCTTCCTTCTGTTCTTCACAGAAATTTGTTTGCTCCTGTTGCTTGTGTCAACAATCATTCTCAATGTGGCCAAATATTTTACAAAAGTTACATTGGGGGCTTGCCTTTGTGCCAACATTTTTCTGCATTGTGATTAGTCCTTTTGCAAATTTTACAAAAAAGACTAGTACTTTTCTCACCTTTTTCTTCAACCTTCTTTGAAGAATCATCATGATCCTGCTTCTTTTTTGGATTGTAATTCTTCTTTTGTTGATTTTTTGAGAAATTTTGAGAATTCTCATTTGTTCTGGACTGGAAAGCCGTCTCTTTGGATTGATCTTCACGAAAAAACCTTTGCTTCTCATGTGCCCGAAATGATCGGACCAGCTCTTTGATAGAAAGCTTAGAAAAATCTTTTGTCTCCTCAGTGATAGCAACAATATACTCATACTTTTATGTGACACTAATTAGAATCTTTTCCATAACTTGTTGGTCAGAAATTGTATCACCATGATTTCTCATTTCATTAACAATATTCATGACTCTTGTGCAATATTCATCTATTTTTTTAGATTTTATCATCATCAAGTTTTGAAACTCTCTTCTAAGAGTTTGAAGATTTATAGTGTGTACCTTTTCGTCACCATACACCTCAGTTTCCAGAGACTCCCAAGCTTCCTTTGCAGTCTCACAAGTAGCAATTTTTGCAAAATATGCTCTTGAGACTCCCATTTGGATTTTGCTTAAGGCTTTTGCATCTTGACGATACTTAGTCTCAAGATTTTTCATCTCTGCTACTGTAAGTTCACCATCGTTTTCTGGCTCTTTAAAGTCATTTGTAACAATAGTCTACTAACCATCAACTTTCAAATGTGTTCTCATTCTTATCTTCCAGTATTCAAAATCAGTTCCATCAAAAAATGGAGTAAGAACAACTGAAAAATCAGCACCTTCATTTGTTTTGGATGCCATATTTTTTCTTCACCTAACCCCAGATTAAGAACGAAAACTTGCTCTTGATACCAATTTGTAGGAAAATATAGAAGGAAAATACTATCTTTAGAGAATGCTCAAGTTTTATATAAGCTACTTAAGACCACTTGAGGTGATTATAATCATCAACTAGATCTCTATTTATACTACCCAAAATATAAAACTAAAGGTCTTGCACAAATAACTAGATACATGTATCACAATTTACTAGATACATGTATTACAGAATCCTAAAAGACTTCTTGAAAAACTAAGAGACAATATTGAAAGACTAAGCATCAAGGTGTGAATGCATTAATTCCAATAAGTTGATCTTCTTTTTCTTACTTTTTCTAATTACTCATTCTGATTAGTTTTTTGTAGCTACTGAAAACCGTTGACCCTATAACTCAAGAGGAATAAATCAATAGTATTTTTTTCGATTCAATTTATCGATCGATTCAATTTTATACACTCCTAATAGAAATTACCTATTATAGCAAGTGCAAGTACGCGATTGATTGAGGAATAATAAGGGCAGTGTGTATAATGGTTGAAATAGGACATTTGAATGGTTCCAACGAGAAGCAAGACACATTCAATTTTACCTAGGAAATGCAAATGCAAAGGTAGTTGACAGGGATTTGATGTTATGTAGATGAAAACAAGAGGATGTTGTGTTGCAAATAGATAATTTGGAGGCAGCAATCAATGACTAAAGTGGTTCGAAAGGAAGGTGTTATGGCTTGAACTTTAGATGATGATCAAGATGGTGTTCATTCTCTTGATCGAGCCATGATTGTGTGGCGGGAACTCAATAAATCTGGTTTGCAGTGAAAAATAGTGTCGTTGGTGTTCCTGGGCGAGCTGATAAAGGTGTGAAAACTGCAGCTAAGCATCTGTACATAAACATACACCGTGACATTAGTTGGCAAGTAAGCATTCAACTTTGAGAGTCCACATCTAGACATGGTTTCGATCAATTGACTATTAATACTCCAAACTTGTCCTCATTGTGTCTCATGGACACTTGACGCTGACATGACACATAAATTTTGGGAGTGTTATGATGTGCACTACTCCCTCCGTCCCTATTTACTTGTCAAATATTTCATAAATTGATGTCCCTTTTTACTTGTCATTTTTGATAAATCAAGGAAGGACAATTTTCTTTTTCCTTTTATACCCTCAATTTATCAACATTGAGTTAATGTATATGAAAAATGCATTTGGGACTCCATCAATTAATAGAGTTAAAATGGTAAACTCACTACACCAATCATTGTTTTGCATATTGAGGAACCGGACATGTTGCCTGAAGTTATTGTATTTTTCTATATCATTTACATAACATACATGTTTGCCGGATAAATCGTGTAGGTACAAACTAAGTTAGGATTTGGATAAATCGTGTAGGTACAAACTAAGTTTGGATTTGTAAAAAATAAGGTAAAAGGCGAGTGAATTAGGTCCAATCGCGTTTCCTTTCTTTTTTGGCTAGAATCCAGCAATATGAACAAGAAAAACAAGAAAAATAATACAAACAGTAAATGAAAATAAAATTATCTGAAAATATATTTAGCTTCAGAACCAAAAATTGCTTGTTACAAGTGAAATTACTACTCCAATGGAGTGCAATATCATTCTTTTCTTTAAAAGTATCTCTGCCCTTATAACTTCAGATTAGAAGTTTTTCAAGCTACTGAAAAGAAAAGGAAAAAATCAACAGAAAAAAATGGCTGAAATTCTTCTTACAGCAATCATCAATAAATCCGTAGAAATAGCTGGAAATCTACTCTTACAAGAAGGGAGCCGCTTGAATTGGCTGAAAGAGGACATTGATTGGCTCCAGAGAGAAATGAGACACATTCGATCTTACATACATGACGCAAAGGATAAGGCAATTGGAGGCAATTCAAGGGTGAAAAACTTGATAAAAGACATTCAAGAGCTCACAGGTGATGTGGATGATCTCTTAGATGAGTTCCTTCCGAAAATTCAACAATCCAATAAGTGCAAAGGCTCAATTTGTCGGCTTAAGACTGCTTGCATCCCTTCTCATGCTTCTTTTGTCGATGAGTTTGCTATCGAGATTGAGAAGGTAAATAAAAGGGTTGCTGACATTGACCGTGTAAGGACAACTTACAACATCATGGATACAAGTAATAACAATAATGATTGCATTCCATTGGACCAAAGAAGATTATTTCTTCATGCTGATGAAACAGAGGTCATCGGTTTGGATGATGACTTCAATAAGCTACAAGCCAAATTACTTGATCAAGATTTGCCTTATGGAGTTGTTTCAATAGTTGGCATGCCCGGTTTGGGAAAAACAACTCTTGCCAAGAAACTTTATAAGCATGTCCGTGATCAATTTGAGTGTTCGGGACTAGTCTATGTTTCACAACAGCCAAGGGCGGGAGAAATCTTACATGACACAGCCAAACAAGTTGGAGTGACGGAAGAGGAAAGGAAAGATAACTTGGAGGGCAACCTAAGATCACTATTGAAAAGAAAAAGGTATGTTATCCTCCTAGATGATATTTGGGATGTTGAAATTTGGAATTATCTAAAACTTGTTCTTCCTGAATATGATTCAAAAATTGGCAGTAGGATAATTATCACTTCTCGAAATAGTAACGTAGGCAGATATATGTTGAAGTGTGTGACCATCTCATCTAAAAACTTAAGCTTTTAGAGAGAGCACAGTTTTTTTATTATTTGATTGTATTTTTATTCTCAATACGCCCCCTCACGTGTGGGCCTGAATTTTTTTTCATGGGCCAAGCATGTGGAAATTCTTTTTTTTTATTTAGGTGACGGTGAGATTCGATCTCAGGACCTGTGTGACCATCTCATCTAAAAGCTTATCTAAAAGCTTAAGCTTTTAGAGAGACCACACTTTTTTTATTATTTGATTATATTTTTATTTTCAATATGTTAAATTAGGTCTTAGGCCTAACTCACACCTCAAAAGCTAGCTCAAAGGGAGGAGGATTGCCCAAGCCTTAGAAGGAGTCCACCCATCTCATTAACCACCGATGTGGGACTTTTGTCATTCTTTAACAATATATAGGAGGAGATTTCTCAGTCCACGTGTTGCAACCTTTAGATTCAGAGAACAACTTTGAACTCTTTAGCAAGAAAATCTTTAATTTTGATAATAACAATAGTTGGGCTAATGCTTCACCTGACTTAGTAAATATTGGTAGAAGTATAGTTGGTAGATGTGGTGGTGTACCACTAGCCATTGTGGTGGCTCCAGGCATGTTAAGGGCAAGAGAAAGAACGGGACATGCATGGAACAGAGTACTTGAGAGTATGGGCCATAAAGTTCAAGATGGATGTGCTAAGGTATTGGCTCTGAGTTACAATGATTTGCCCACTGCATTAAGGCCATATTTCTTGTACTTTGGCATTTTCCCCAAGGACCATGAAATTCGTGCCTTTGATTTGACAAAAATATGGATTGCTGAGAAGCTGATAGTTGTAAATAGTGGCAATGGGCGAGAGGCTGAAAGTTTGGCGGATGATATTCTAAATGATTTGGTTTCTAGAAACTTGATTCAAGTTGCCAAAAGGAAATATAATGGAAGAATTTCAAGTTGTCGCATACATGACTTGTTACATAGTTTGTGTGTTGACTTGGCTAAGGAAAGTAACTTCTTTCACACCGAGCACAATGCATTCGGTGATCCCAGCAATGTTGCTAGGCTTTGAAGGATTACATTCTACTCTGATAATAATGCCATGAATGAGGTTTTCCGTTTAAATCCTAAGCCTACGAAGCTTCGTCCACTTTTCTGTTTCATAAATGACAATTGCCTATTTTCTCATATGGCGCATCTTAATTTCCAATTATTGCAAGTGTTGGTTGTAGTCATCTTTATTGATTATTTTAGTGGTGTTCGTATCCCAGACACATTGTCATGCCCTGAGCCTACACCCTGGGTGGGACCGGCACTCGGAGACCATTGCTGGCCCCAAGCGAACCCTTGGCCTGGCTTTCTTAACTCAGCGAAAACCTAACTCAACAGAATAACTTAAAGCAATGCAAGTTTACACAACAACTAAACTTATAAGAATCTGGCCATAAGGGCATCTAAAAATAGATATTTGCATATATACATAGAAGAGAGACTCAAAACTAACTGAGAAGCCTCTAATATACTGAGATGGATGTTGGGACAGACCCCGCCACATCATAATAGAACAGCACTAAGTACACAAAATAATTGAGTCCTCCGGAATGCAAAGAGGCTCACCACTGACTCTGGAGTGCTCAGCTGGATCAACAGCGTGCAGGATGCTGATCCGGGGTACCTGTATCTGCATCATAACAAGATGCAGGCCAACTGGCATCAGTACATGGAATGTACGAGTATGCGAGCATGGAAAGCTAAACCACGACTTAAGCTTGAAAGGAATACAAGAGAACACTTACCTTGACCTTGTTCGACTCATGAATAATTGAACTTAATATAAAGAAATAAGACACATGAAACATATAAATAACTTGTAAAACAGTGTAAACAACTTAGCTCGTTAAGCATAAAACAATAACCAACTCTTCTTTACTTATATAAAAGTAATATAACTTTTGTGGGAGGTTCTTTAACCGACAACCACCACTATGAGCCCTAGTGATGATACAACGTTTTACCTCACGTTGCCCAAGGACCATCCTATACCTTGCCGTGATATAGGACCTTACTTTTGCTTAGTGGATCCACTAGCCTAATCTTACGTGATCGTCTAAAAAGAATGATACGTCAAGTCCCATGTTGGCGCATGGTTGTTATGGAGAGTTGAGTTAGTATGAACTCGTGTCCCCAATTCGGTACTCAATACTACTCCCAAAAATGCTTTGGCTCATAAGTGTTTTTCAACACATCTTTCTTTAATTGAGATAATTACTCAAAACCTAGCCAAATGGCTCCTTTGGAAAAACATGGTTCCTTTCTTACCTAAATGTAAAACATTTATAAACTTCTTTGGGAATACATAGTTCCCTAATAGCTTTTGAGAGAATGGACTCAACTTTAAACTCTTGACTTAACTTGAAACCCAAGACTCTTACTCGACTTGAAACTTGAGACTCTTTTCTTGACTTGGAACTCAACACTCTTGCTTGACTTTGAAACTTGAAACGAAGTTAAAATGTTCAATAACGACTCTTGAAAAGCTTGGAGGACTTGCTTGAACTTACTTCTTAACATTTATTGACTTGACTCTAACTTCACCTTAGCTTTGATCCTAACTCGCCTTGAATTAGATTATGGATTCAATACATATAATCGCATGTTTATAGATGAGTTCGGGATGTTTAGAAACACTTTGGGGTGTTGGAAACAACTAGGAAACATAGGTATAACACCTAGGAACATGCATGAAAAAGTAGGGGAGGAATGGGAAGACTTGGAGCTCTTGGCGCTCTTGGCGCTCTGAGAGGAGCGGAGCGCCAGACCCCAAACCTCAGAGAGGGCCTGCTGGCGTACTGAGTGGCGCGCCGCCCCAAGGGGGAAACTTCAGAACTCCCTTTGGGGTGCGCTGCCAGGCGCGACGCGCCAACCTCTTTGCCCAGAAACTCGACTTTTCTCCCTCTTTTCTTCAACTCTAAACTACCCTAACTTCAAGGGTTCCAATCCCAACCATTTGGGATCACAAAATCCCTCAATATACAATAGATTTCAACTCAAGAACACAACTAAATCATGTCCCACAACCAACAAGAACTTCAACAACACCATCAACAACATCAACAACAACTAACAACTTCAACAACACAATCAATCCTTTCTCAATAATGAAATTAGTTTGGTGTGTGGGGGAAAGGATCACCCAACAATAAAAGCTCACATACCTTGATAGGGATCACCCCCGACGAAAATCCACGATGATCTTGACGAAAACTCCTTGATCTCTTCTTCTTCTTCTCTTCTTTCTCTCTTCTTCCTTCTTCTTCTCGTCTTCACTCTCAACCCTAGCTTTCACTCTCTTAAAATGGAACAAAATGATCCAAGTATCAGCCTAACTCAACAATATAACCTCAAAATAAATAGCTAGGGAAAAGACCAAAATGCCCTTAATTTTCCGGACAGATTCCCCTGCCAACTGCCCAACTTCTAAAAGGCATAACTCGCTCATACGAACTCGGAATTGAGCAAACTCGGCGGCGTTGGAAAGTTCATTCCACAAGATTTACAACCATAACTAGAACTACTCCTAAATCATCCTGAGCTGGAAGTTATGACTGCTCAAAGTTGGCCAAAAATTCATTTCTCCACACTTAGCCAAATTTTCCAGATTTTAAAATTCTTTCCAAAAATGACTATTTTCGATTTTTAAGCCTCTTCATAGTTATTTCAACTTACCGGATGTTACATTAACAGTTGCTGTTCTATAAGCCCATTTTCCCCAAACGTGTACTCATTGCCTCGTAATAATCTACAAACTTTGATGTGGATGAATGATAAATATTTTGAACCAAGATTGTAGCACCAATTGATCAATTTAAGAAAACTGGGTATATGGTGCGTATCTGATTCTACAGTTAAGATATTATCAGCGTTAATTGAGCCCGGTGCCAACAACTTTGGAGGTTCTGAAGCTTTACTTTTTCAGGGACACAAGTGAGCAAATAAACTTTGTCGTCGTATCCAAATATTGTTAAGTTGCATTTGAATGGAAGAATGCCGTTGAACTCTGAAGCATTCCCTCCAAATCTTGTCAAGCTTACTCTTCGCAACTTTGAGGTAGACGGTCATGTAGTGGCAGTGCTTAAGAAATTGCCCAAATTAAGGATACTTAAAATGTATCAGTGCAACCATATGGAAGAAAAGATGGATCTCTCTGGTGATGGTGATAGCTTTCCGCAACTTGAAGTTTTTTATATTCAAGATCCATTCCGGTTGTCTGAAGTAACGTGCACGGATGATGTCAGTATGCCTAAATTGAAAAGCTATTACTTATAGAAAGAACTGATTCCAACGTTAGGCTCTCGGAAAAACTTGCAAAGCTGAGAATATGAAAATCCCAATGTGTCAACAGGTTAGTTATTTACTTTTAATATCTCAAAATAAGCTAATTTGTATTTAATTCCTCAACTTATTATTTTATGTCTAATAAATTGCAGATGCATTTCAGAATGATTAAGTCTTTGCTGGAGAGCATCTTCTATGCCTGTTTGTATTTGAAATAAATAAATTAAATGTTTGATTGTTTTCTCAAGTTGATGTATTTGTGGCTGTCTTATGTATATTTACTTTGGAATTAGTAGCTTTAGTTTATTTTCTTCTTCAAGAATCAAAGTTCACAATATAAGTTATGGCTTTGCATCGATCGGTTCAGGTCAATTTTATGTATTGTCATTTTAGTTTATCGGTTTTTGGTTATGGTTTATCGGTCAATTGATTTAACCAATAAGAAAATGCTTTTAAAACAAATATATGACTTCTCTAATTTAACATGACAAGATAATAACTAACTTTACAAATGTTCATAAAATAGAAACAATAATAACTAATATGAGAAAAACTACACAAGTGTAACAAAAATAGAAATTAATAGGAATAGTGTTCTTACTTTATTTTCTGACGTTTTGTATAATGGAAGTTTTGAACTCAATGTCACTATGAAGTGTAAAGGGAAGGCTAAAGGACAAATGCACTAACTAGTAAGATATTGAGATTAATATTTAATATTTATGTACGGGTAAAGTACTATATTACTATAATTTTATCGGGTTATCGGTATACCCAATAACCCAATATAAAAAGTCAAAATTGAACCGATAATCCAATATTTTTTTTTTTATAAAACCATTAAAAACTATTGACCCAATAACAATAAACTAATTGCCACTTTTTTCGATTCAATTTTTTTACCCCTAATAAAAATTACATGTTCTAGCAAGTGCAAGTAGACAATTGATATATATATAGCTCACAATTTACAAATTCTTTCTAGTGTTAATCGTCAAAAACATTAACTTCTCAATATATGGCTAATAATTATTTAAGTATTCATATTTGTGAGAGTTAATAGGTTTAAGATGAGAAAAAGTATTTTTTTTTAATTTAAAAAAAAAGCATATAATTTTCTTCTCTGTCACGCGAAGTGCAAGTTGTTTTATTACTCTCCCGATCTCAGTTGATCATTTTCGTTTTTTACAAGCATATTAAGTATCTTAAATAAGAAGTTAGTCTTATTAATTCATCCCTTAAAAAAAGTTTGGAAATTTAATGAATAAATGTGAGCATTTTAAAAAAGAATTAATTGCATGAATAATATAGGGAAAAAATTATTAATGCTTTCTTCATTTAGAAAGATGGACAACTATATATTTTTAATAA